GCCCCCGGTGCGCTCACCCCAGTGGCTCAGCAGCGGCTGGAACCTCTCGCGGAGCCCCGCTCCCTGTGCCTGGGATGGGGCTCCCTGGCACCGCGCTCCCAGCGCTCCCGGGATCTGCCTCCCTCGGGACACTCCTCTCGCCGGCTGCTGTGCCCGTCGCCCTTCCTGCCAGCCTCCTCTCTCTTCTCCCTCTCTTCCCACAAACCGCCCTGTCCCCTCTGGTCCTGGCAGCTCTTTTCCCCTCTTCTCTCCGAAGGCCTCTGGTGCCTCCGCTCTTCCTCTTCTCGCTGCGTCCTGCTCACAGGCTTCCTCTCGGAGCCCTTCCAGGGCTGCTGGCTCCCGCTGGCGTAGCGCTCGTAGGCAGGGTCCTCCTTCTCCTTCTTAATCTTGATTCTGGGGTGCGCCTCCTCTGCGGACACCGCCCTCCTCGCAGCCTGCGAGCTCTGCTTTTGCCGCTCCTGTCTACTTTTCTCCTTATCTGAAATACAAGGGTCATCTTTCGGGACGGACAGTCCTGCGAGCGTCCCCTCAACTCCCCAAGCTCTGCCTAGCACCGTGGCGCCTTTCCAACTCCCCTCCCATTTTAAGTTCTCCCCCCTCCACCCAAGCTTCACAGCCTGTTTACCCCCCCTCAGAGAGATCCTATTCCACTTCCAACCCCGACACTTTTCTCCTCTGGCTTCACCCATCCTACTTCCTTCTTCAACGCTCGCCACGTTGCGTTCTTCCCAGCAAGGCTGCCCTCAGGTGCTGCAACACAGCTTGGAATATCGAGCACCTTCCTTTCGCTCTCTTTCCTCAGTTACAGCCACGCAGTAAGAACATCGTGATCCACTCCGTGGAAATTCAGTTCTCCAGACCCAATGATTCCTTTCCCTCTTTGCTCCCCTTTGCCTCTCTCTTTTTTGCACATCTCCTCGGCGCTCTGGAGCGACACCTTGTCCCCACCCTTAGTTTTGCTGCCTATTTTCTTTCCTCCAACCCTTCTCTCAAACTAGGATTCTAGCCTGACGGACATGCCCCTCCACCCCACGCTAAGGCCCCATCCATCCTCTGTCCTCCTCTGTGCAACACAGCGACAAGCTCCTCTCTCGATGGGGGGTGGGAGCGCAGTAAAGACAGGTCTCAAACCCCGACAGCGCAAGGGCTCGGCCGTAGCTACAAGACGGCCCCAAATATCTGCTGCTAATACCCGCCTGTCAGAGGCAGAGCCTGGCTGTGGGAAGGAAGGTTCCTCTGCACGCCACACCGTGGGCTCCGAGCCGATTTCGGAACAACGGACGCCCCCACCCCAGCCCACGGTCACCACACCTAACTGGCTCATCCCGGGAGCCACAACTCATCTCCGGTGGATGCCGCCTGGAAGTTGTCGGCAAGCCACAGTAAACAGCTCCTACTGCAAGACACTGCTTCTAGCGCTCCGCTGGCCCTGACAAGGGTAACTTCTCAAGATCTCTGCTGCATAGATGGAAAAAACCCTAATGGCTTCTTAAAAATCCATCCGTATAGCTGCACAGGCTGGTCCTTTACGTGGCACGTTCGTTCAAGTTCAATTTGGATGTACTCTACATCTTTCCGTTTTCTTCTGAAAGATGTAGAGCAACAAATCCTGCTGTGTCCACTGAGAACAGGAGGCATTCAGGCACTCGGACGGTTTAACTCATGCTGCATTTTTAGGTCTACTTTCACAGAATAGCTGGGGTTGGAAAGGACCTTTAAAGGTCATCTAGTCCAACCCCCCCTACCTTCTTTGGCTTCAGTTTCCAGCCACAGAATCTCATCTAGATCTGCTGGTTTTATGTTCTGTTCAATTCAGTTATCTTGCACAGGCCACATAATGGTCATTCCATACGTCTACAGCCCTCTAGTCCTACAGTAGCAGCATCCAGATTTTAAGATTAAGTGGTGCTTTTCCTAAGCCTTCCCTCTCCCCCATCCCCCAACAGCGCTGCTCCCCCCTGCAGTAACCCTGCAGCCTGGCAGGCTTTTTTCCAGGAAAAGTGCTATTACTGTCTGCAAGATACAGCCCTCCAGAGGCTGGGGGAGGACAGTCACAGGTAAAGGCTAAATACAGGCACTCAGATACCCCTTCGGGAGATCACAAGGTAAAGCCTGGACGTTAGGGCTGTGGCTCTTTTCAAGAGCACACCCGTCCTCAATGTGTCCCCGAGCAAAGGGCCCTTGCGAGGCCGAGGGCTCTGTGCAGACACTCCCACCTGGGGTCAAGACTGGCAGGAACACACCTCACCTTTCTGCTTTTTTACGGGCACGTCGTCATCTTCCGACAGGGAATCGGATGACGTATGAGGTGGCGTTTTAACTCCACAACCCTTTGCATGGAGGGCTTTTGTGACATCATCTAAGTCATCGGAGTCTTTGGGGGGCCGATAGTTGGCCACGTGGTCCACTCGAATCGTCCTTCCTTTGATCTATGAGGGGAGCCACGCTGTTAGCAAAGGCACAGGCCAGCTCCCCGCGCGCTGCGGGTCGCCAGCGACCCGTGCTGTCGGGGCTCCTGTTTGACGTGAAGCAGCCACTCGGGGG